TAATAGAAGACAGGAAAAGGTTGAAAGTAGGATCAAAGAGAAAATTTATAATTTCATTTCACTAATGTTGCAGAGAAATTGACAAGATGCACGAACGCCACTGTTTACGACACTCAGCCATATCACTCAGTGTCTCTAACCATCGGTTACGATCATCCCGAGGTCCCCATCCAGGACCATCCGGGACCTATGTGACCCAGTCCCTTGGTCAGGGTTTTCATACCCTCATGCCTGGTCTTAGGTTGACCACCCTGGGCTTTATTCCACCCATTACCTGCCTCGGCAAACATCGCTCTCCGTGGCAGCCTATCTGGTGACATGCGTATCATATGCCTCAACCAACGCTATGGTCGACATCATTTGCTCCAGTGGGCGACCGCGGTTGCCTAAAACTTTGCACCCGACCTCAGCATTACTCGTTCAGCTGCCCCACCAGATTCGTGCAATGCTGCGTAGACAGCGGTGTTCGAACACCGACAGTCTATCTTTATCCCTTTTTCCTAATGGCTAAGTTTCTGCTCCATATACTAGAACTGGCCAAACTGCTGCAGCATACACTCGACCCTTCACAGACAGCCAGATATCGCGACGGCGCCACAGATGTTTCAAGTTGGGAAATTCCAACCGAGCCTTCTGTATGCGAGCTGACACTTCATCCGTGATGCGTCCACCAGGTGAGATGTAGCTGCCCAAATAACAAATTTTATCCACTTGCTCTATTACTTCCCCAGTCATGTATTAACATTTTACACTTTGAAGGTGCAAAACGCATACCGAATATGGCTACACTGGCATTCAAGTTATCCAGAAATGCTTTCAACTTACCTGGATATTTACTTAGTAGCACAATGTCGTCTGCGTACTCTAGATCAGGCAGCCTGTCACCTGGGAGTGAATCGATATCACTATCCTCGCACAAGAATAGGGCTGTTTCCATAATCAGATCTATAACAAAGTTGAATAGAAAAGGAGAAAGAGGGCACGAACACCACTTTCCGTTGTGGACTCGGGTGAAAACGTGCCGTAATCTGGGACTCGGTTTCGGCTATTACTATAGAGGCATTGTAATACTGAAATAAACTTCTCGGACACACCTTTCAGGAAAGGCAGTGCCAGGGTTTAGAGCGGTCGAGTGAGTCGAAAGCCTCTTTCAGATCCAGGAAGATAGAAGGTGGTCTAGGAAAAGAATGCCGGTGCTCTAGAGTTTGGCGAAGAGTGAAGATGTGGTCGATACATCCTCGACCGGGTCTAAAATCAGCCTGGTTCTAACGTGTGGCAGACAATCGACGGAGTACGGTGCCAACGAGAAGCTTAGAAACGATGTTGAATAAACTAATTTCTCTATGATTTTCACAAGCGGATCTGTCACCTTTCTGGCAAATTGGTATGCCCATTCGCGGTGGAGGGTGATAGTTCAGATGTCGAAGGGGGGCGAGTTAAACTGAACCTCGAAGTGTTCAGCTCATCGATCAAGACGGCGTTGAAGTTTCCTGAATCAATGTTCCATCGGATTCCTTATTTACCTCACTTACGCCTATTTTCCTAGGTCCCGTATTCCTAATTAGACGGAAAAGATTGCGAATATCACGAATAGCCGCAACCTTCTCCACTTCTCCACACTTCTATATCCACCACTTCTCGCGGTCATTCCTCAGACTCCTGATGCGCTGGCGTTTAAGGGATTTGCGCGCTTTGCCATATGTGGCATC